CAAAATATCTCCCACAGCATATTTATTATTACCAATATTGAGTTGTTATTATTACTGGTATTTTTGTCATGCATTTAGTAACAGTTTAATGTCTTCACAAATTTTTACTTCCTCCATCCCAGAGCTAGTGCTTAATTTCCCTTCAAGTGGGGCTAGATGCAGCAACCCACTTCAAGTGAAGAGTATGAAAAGGGAGAATGTAGTCACGTTATGGTGGGGAAAATGGCAGACACCACTTATACAAGTGATGCAAGTTATCCCAGGAATAGAATCCTAAGGCATGCAAGGACTAGAGCAAGTTGATACCATGTATTGCCTGATAGGATTTAACGAGAAAGGCTAAACACCTCTGGGCATTCTTCCCCGAAAACATAACCCCATTTTACTCATGAGAAAGTATCAGTGAAACCCAGTGCAAAGGCATTCTACAAAAGTGTAGCGTCAAGAGTACTGACCACGGGCAGTTGGAAGACTGGGAAATCGTCACAAGATTGGAGGAGATTAAGGAGACAGGATAACTAAACGCAAGATGTGATCTTGGATCCTGAAACAAAGAGCCCGAGTGGGAAACGGGAATTCTGAAATAAAAACTATAACTTAGTTAATAATATTGTACCAATGTTAAGTTCTTCTGATCATGTAAGATATTAACATTAGGGGAAACTGGTAAAGGGCAAAGGAGAAGTAGTATATTCAATTCTTCAAATCTAAGATTATCAAAATTAAAATATGAACACTGATCTCTAGTTAATGATACATACTTAAAGTATTTAAATACTTAATATAAATATATAAATATATAAAATATTAAAAAATAAATATAAATAACTACTTTAAGCAGTTTACATAAAAATTGTACTGAAGTCTGCCATTGCTTAGAAATGTATAAAATAAGTAAGATACATGAGGAGGTATGTGATAAGCAAGTACAGTAAATTTAATGGATTTAAGTGGGCAGCATGTGTTCACTGTAAACTGCTTTATAGTATTTATGTTTGAATATTTCATATAATAAATGTTGGAAATAAAATATATATGATCTAACAACAAAGTTTCAAAACAACTGATAGAACTGAAAGGAAAATAGACTTTGTTTACAATAGATTTGTCCATAGTCGTCAAAATTACAGTTGGATATTTCAACACTCTTCTCTCAGTAACTGATAGAAGTAGACACAAAGTTAGGAGCACAGATTTGATCAACACCACCAACCAACATCACTAAACTGAATACTCCACCGTAAAAATATCTCTCAAGTACAATATGGAACATTCACCAAACAGACCATACGCTGTGTTAATAAAAGGTCTTAATAAATTTAGGATTGAAATATTGAAATTACCCAGTTATTCTCTACCCCACTGAAATTAAATTAGAAATTACTAACAAGAAGATATCTAAGAACCCCTAAATATTTGGAAATTACTAGTAGTACTATTTGATTCTTTTAATATGTCCTGCATATTTTGATAAAAGTAGTTTACTATTTTCAATTTATTTAAATTATCTTTTATTTATTAAAATTATAACACACTTACAAACATATATATATGTATGAACTAACCAGTGTACTAAATGTTATTATGTAGTATCTCATATTTTATATAAAAGAAGGGTTTTTCATGTTAGAAGTTGTGCTTTTAGAGAAAATTTAATGACAAATATATTGACACTTGATAAAAAATACTATGTGTGTGTGAGTATGTGTGTGTGTGCATGGACTCTGACTGTATAAACAATTTTAATAAACAAACCAAAATAAATAATATCCTCCACTCTGCAGAGAATATAGCTATATAAACCAGGTTCTTTAGATTATGTAAAGAATTATTGAAGCAGTAGCATGAATTTAAATTGCTACAATGATTATCTAGAAGAGATAGTGGTTTGCTAGTTATGGTCAAGAGAATTCATTCTATATATAATGCACTTTTTCTTTCTATCATGTATTAATCATGAAATAACTCAAATTTTAGGAACAAGTTGCCCATTTATGACAAAACGACTACACATTTCACTTTCCTCTAGCCATTTATAATAGTAAATTTATTCATTTAAGTTTCATTATATTTTGTATCTCTTTCTCCCTCTTCAGTTCTATGTGAGGAAACTATATTATTGGCTATTTAACTAAGTAATGTATTGAACAGCAGTCTATTGTTTCTTTTAGGAACATGATACTAGCTTCTCCAATATTGTTTGTATTTAATATATTATCAGTGATTTGGAAGCATCCCCTAACATTCAGAGAGTTGATCATAACCAAAATCCCTGTTCTATCAATTAATCTTTGCACTACCCATTACGTCTTTCTAACTGGTTTCTCTCCCTTTTCATTCATTCTTTGGCTTTGATGCTGGCTTTTTAGCTAGGTTATAATGGATGGTTGGATGGCAGGATTTGGTCAAAAAGTTCAGTTTTTAATCTTATCATACTTCTCCTTAGTCAAATATTATTGATCAAACTACTTTCAAAATTAAAAAGCAACATCTATACTGTAAAATTTGATAATTTTGGGATATATGTGGGTATGAAATCTCACAAAAATATTAAGAACTCTTGATAAATATTAGCACAGGAACTACAAAAGATTCACAAAGCATAAAGAGAGTACTTTTGAGGCAATGAGTGACAAATTGAAGAAGCTGTTAAAGAGGTATAAAAATAAACAATGTCTTGGATGTATACTCAGAAACTATGAGTCAGAGATTAGTGTGGTATTTTGTCATGTATTTAATAATCATGTACTCAAGTCCCTTGATTGCAATGAGCAATTTAATAACACTATCAAATGAAAAGATGAGGTTCTTCTTGACTAAGTAACAGATTTAGACCTGGCAATGGAATATTTTGCAAATTCAACCAAATAATCAGTTCAATTATTCTTGGAAAAAGTATGTGTAGCTTGGGGCTGGCAGGAGGTGGTGGAAAACATCCAAAATTCAAAAGAAATAAACATCTGGTTTGCTACTTCTTCTTGATATCACAGTACTATTCTTTTCACTTAAACTGCTAACTAGATAACAAAGTTCAAAACTAGGTCTAGAAACTTCAGATGTACAGATTTAAAACACGATAGGATCTTCTTAAGATGTCAATAATAAAGTTAAATAGCTTATTTAATGCAAATCCAAATTATACAGGTCATTATTGTGACAATGTATGTATTCACATTAATCAACTTGCACAGGATAGTTGGCACAACACATTCAATTAAGCTCAAAAAAAGTATGGGTCTGACTTGAAATATACATGTAAAAATTAAGCAAATTTAGTTGAATCTTACAACTACCTTTCCTCTTTTGAATTCTGATTTCTTAAACAGAAAAAAAACCTTTAAACAGATTTTAATGACATTAGAGTTAACAAATACAACATTAAAACAATGAATAATGTTAAGGGTGTAATCTTCCAGTCATTACAATTATTTTAAGACTGTAATAAACGTGCGTTTTGAATTCATTTGCACTGAGATAAATTCTGGTTCTTCATTTCTACGTTCCGTAATTTCGAGGGACTCAACATTATTCTCTAATATTAATCAAAATCAAAACCAAGAATCTCAATTCCCAATATTTGGAGCTGTGGGGTTCACTTTTCTTACAATCAAGTGCTAAAAGCACTTATAAATGGGGGTTAAAGAATTATTGAGAACAATTGTAAAGAACACACGAATTTGTCATCCCGGAGTCAGGAGATTTGTTTTCTAGTATCAAAGGAGTAACAACTGCAGGTAAATCTAAAGGTCGTCTTTTTTATTGTGGTTGGGATGGTTCTCTCTCTTTGAACTTTCGGTTCCTCTTCCTAACCCCCACTCTTTTGCCCCCTTTCTTCAAGGTTTCAGGGTCGTCCTCTCCGGTAAACGGAAGTCTCGGCATTTTCTGTCCTTCGCCGCCGCCCCCGGGTCCGCAGTCGTCAGCGGCGCGCCCCGGGCCCACCGCCCTTCCAGCCCTCACCTGCGCCGCGGAGGAAGTACCTGGCGGCGGGACCGGGCGGGGCGCCCCGGGCGAACACCTGGGAGGGGTGGCACCCCCAACGGCCAGCGGGTGTGGGGGAGGGGAGCCCGCTCCCTGCCCGCCCCCGCCGCCCCCGGGCGTTGACTCACGTGAGAAAAAGGGGGGCAGAGGTGAGCAGTGCGCGCGCGGGGCCGGGGGGGGGCGCCAGGGCGTCCAGGTCTGCTCCGGCGCCCCGCGCCCAGATCCCGCAGCGACCTCGACCCGCTCGCACCGACGGCCCGGGCCGCCAGCACCCCGCCGCGGCCCTCGCCCGCCGACCCGCGCGTCCGGCCCGCGCCCCCGCCGCCCCGACTCCGCGGAGCCGCCCTCCCGCGCCCCGGCCGCGCGCGCGCTCTCCCCGGCTCCGCAGCATGGCGCGCCCCCAGGCCCTCGCGCTCGGCTCCTGTCACGGCGCTGACGGCGGCGGCTCAGAACGGTGGAGCGGAGTGGGGGGCGTGGGGCGGGCCTGGGGGGCGGCTTTCGGCGTCCGAGACGGGAACGGGGTGGGGGGCGGCGGCGGCGGCCGCTTCTCGGCCTGGAGCCTGGACGGCGCGGGGCGGGCGCGCGCCGGGGGAGCAGCCGCGCTTTGTGGCTCTGAGCGCTTCGGGGAGGCGACCGCGCCGGGGTAGGAGGGCTGGGGGGCCGCGCGGCCAGGTCCGGGGGATCCTTCGGCCCCCAAGCGGGGAGGAGGGCTCGGGACGGCCCCAGGGGCGCCCTGCCCGCGCCTCCCGCCGGGGCGCGCCCACCACCGCGGGCCGGCGCGCGCGGGGGCTCGGGGCGCGGCCGGAGGGCTCGGGGGCCTCGGCGAACTGCTACCTGCCCGCCCGCCCCTCCCCGCACCTCCGCGGGCCCCGGATGTGGGTCTCGGCGGGGACACGAAGCCGCCCAGAGGCCGCTGTGCACCTGCTGGCGGGAGAAAGTCCTTCTGGGCTTTGCTAGGCGTGTGCTTGTTGCCCTTTTCTAGGGTTCGTATTAGTAATGCCAGGTTTATTGTAGGGAACCCAGAAAAACCGGTAACCATAAAAAGCAAAAAACCTGTAATTCCTACCACTTCAAGAAAATCCCATAATTTACAGTTGAGTACGCTAAATCTAACCGCGGAGATGTGTGTCTTGATGGTCTTCCTCCCCTCCCCCCCATAGCATCCAGAGTTTTCCATTCCCCTTCTCCTTCAAAACCACGATTTAGATGGTGACAGAGCAGTCTGTAGTGTGGAAGGTTGCACCATTATCCAAATGTTGTATATACAGTTTGATCCAGTTTTTCGTACCCTGGAACGAACATCTTGGCTGCTACCTGTTGATTTATTTGTAAAATGGTGGCTGGAAGCGAAATTGCAATTGCCCAGAACATTCTGGAAAAGCCTTTAAATTTCCACCCAGAGGTTATGGTCTAATTCATTACCGTTTAAAATAAATGCAGTTTAGTCAACCCTAGCTTCAGTCTGAGGCTAAAATCTTACTCGTTAATTGCTTTAAAGTAATGTTAGATGCTATGAGCTATGTTCAGAAAGTCTTTTTAAGTTTCAAATCGTTTGCCCATGAAAAAATGTGCTTTTGCTAATGTAGTGTAATGCTGCGTACGGTTTTAACTCCTGAGGACAGCTGCTATAGGAGAAATGTAATTTGCTGGGCAAATTAATTGGTGGTTCATATTGATTATCATTTAAACGGGGAAATTAAAAGCTTACTTGGGGTTTGACGGCTCAATATGAAAATTCTTTGGCTTGTCATACAAGTTTTGAATGATTACACTCTGGTAGCTACACAGATGGAGTTAGATGAACTTTCCAATTTGAAGTTAAAATGACGACATTCTGAGATGTCACTATTAACATCAATGGCAAGGGCTAGTTAGTATCACTTTCAAAATTGGGTGTTAGGGTTTAATTTAGCTAGAAAATCCACATACAGAGGGTTCCCCCCTCTCCAGCTGAATTATAATTTTTCTAGGGTATAAAGTATAATTTTTCTGGGATACAAAATAGTCCAAAGGTTGGATAAGTTCTTATTAAGTCCCAAAGCAAGCTTGTGTTATTTTTAAAAATGAGGTGGGACAAGTGTTGGATTGTAAGTTATTTACAGATCCTAGAACTGGAATTGTTGATTTTTGGAAAAAGTCAGTGACTGACAGACACAGGTTTATTTAGAAGGAAGAAAGGAGCTGATACTGGGAAGATCATAAAGCCATATTTGGAAGTAGTAAACTAAATAAACCTTTGGACTGTAAGACCCAGTGGTTACCCAAGAGGGAAGGAAAACTTGGTGAGGAATCAAGACAAAGGAAGCAATTGTGTGGTGAAGGATAGACTTGAACTATTTGAGGTGAGTTTAATGTAGTGTAAATACATATTGATTTTCAGTGATGCACACATCAACTTATATAATATTATAAGGCACTTCAATTAAAAAAAGATGTTTGGAGGGCTATATTAAAAACTCAAAACAAGAATTCCTGTAAATTAGACTATGTTGGGCCTCCCCTGTTGGTGCAGGCAGTTGAGTGCTGCACTGTGAGGCTGTCCTCGGCCTCTGTAGCACAGGTTGGATCCCAGCTGGCTGGCAGGAATCCCACATGGCGTGGCAGACCTCTCCTGTCTCGCCCGCTGCTCCCCTCAGCAGTGTATTTCATAAGTCTGCCTCTTTTGCTCCCTGCTCTGTCTCTGGTGAATCCTCTCACTCTCCCGCACATCTGGCCTGTACCCGGTTCTTATATAAAAATAAAAAAAAAAATCTAAATTAGACTATGTCTATGCAGTATATATATTTAGCATAGTGCCAACCACTCAAGTACATATGAAAAACAAAACATTTCAGGACTACTTTTAAAGCTTTTCTTCTTTGGCATTTTTATCGGAACATAATGTAGCTGGGACACTAGAGTTGAGAGTGATCCACATTTTATTTTATTTTTTTAGCTTTTATTTATTTATTTATACAAGCACTGGGTACAGTCAGAAGCACAGGAGGGTGAAAGAATTCACCAGAGCCAGAGTGGGGAGCAGAACGGGCAGACTAACGAAGCACACTGCTGAGGGGAGCAGTGGGCAGCAGGAGAGATCTGCTCGCCATTTGGGATCCTCCTCTGGTGGCCCGGAGCAGCCGGGATCGAGGATCGAACCAGTGCTGTAGAGGCTGCGGGCAGCTTCACAGCCCAGGGCTCAATTGCTGCACCACGGGGGAGACCCATGATCCACATTTTAAAGGGGATTTCCCCCCCCCCTCTAGATTGTAACTGTGAAAACTATAAACTGACTACAAACTGCACTAAGATCGGGAATGAATGCCAGTGTACTTCAATTGGTTCACAAACTACCGTCATCTGCTCAAAACGTGAGTAGGATATCTTCTTTGTCTTTAAACTTCATTTTGACTTATACTCCTCTAATGGATATGTCTTAAGTTGGGAAGTGTTTTATTGGATCATATCTGAAGCATGTTATTTTGCTGGAATGATGTCATATCTGAAGTTTTTATCTTTAGAAAGTGAGTGTGAAAACATGCAAGTCTTCAATAATCTTTGGACCTAGGAGTTCAGAGTTAAGGAAAATTTTTTTCCTTAAACACAAAACTGCAGTGGTTTTTCAGTTTGACATTAAGCTTCCTTTCTAGTGGCTGCCAAATGTTTGGTGATGAAGGCAGAAATGACTGGCTCAAAGTCTGGGAGGAGAGTGAAACCTGAGGGAGCTATCCAGAATAACGACGGGCTCTATGACCCTGACTGTGATGACAAAGGGCTCTTTAAAGCCAAGCAGTGCAATGGCACCTCCACCTGCTGGTGTGTGAACACTGCCGGAGTCAGAAGAACCGATAAGGACAGTGAAATAATCTGCTCTGAAACTGTGAGAACCTTGTGAGTTGGGCTGCCTTTTATGCTTTTTCAGATTCGTGTAATTGCACTTAAAGTTGGGTTAACGTTAAATGAATATGAATAATTTAAGCTATTTATTTATTTGCCTCATGTATTAAAGTGCAAAATGGTTGTCTTGCAGATTATGTAATGAAAAGGAACAAACAGACTCAAACTAGCTTAAGCAAAAAGATTTTATTGGCAGGGACTAGAAACTGTAAAGATCTGAAGACAAACCAGGCATTCCCCCACATCTTTCCTTGGGAGCCTCAGGGTCACTTTCTTTATTTCAGTACCATTTTTGTCTTTTCTCTAGAATATGGCCCAATATAATCAGCTAATCCTTAACTTTACATGACCTTGTGTGTTGTACCTGGAGGGTCAATGTTAGAATGGGTGTTCCCTCCTGTAAAAGTCCCTCATGAAAGCTGTGTGAGGGCCAAGAAAGAAATTAAGGGCACATCTAATGTATAAATCCTTTTTCTGTTACCTCTATTGTAATTCATAATTTTGGAAATTTTAGCATTAACCCTTTAGGAAAATAATATAAACTGAGTTGTTATAGTCAATACTGTCTTTTTACTTTACAGCTGGATCATGATTGAATTAAAACACAAAGCAAGAGAAAAACCCTTTGATCTAGAAAGTTTGAGGACGTAAGTGCTGTTGAATATTTGCACAAATCTCCCTTTCTGTACTATTAGAAAACTAAACTCTCAATGCTTTTTCATGTATTTCTGAAAAAAATACTGTGTTTTTTTTTTTTTTTTTAAAGATTTATTTATTGATTGATTGATTGATACATACAAGCACTGGGTACAGTCAGAAGTGCGGGAGGGAGAGAGAACTCACCAGAGCCAGAGCGGGGAGCAGAGCAGGCAGAAGGACTGAAGTACACTGCTGAGGGGAGCAGCGGGCGGCAGGAGAGGTCTGCGCGCCATGCGGGACCCTCCTCCCGAGGCCGGGGAGCAGCCGGGGATTGAACCGGCGCTGCAGAGACTGCCGGCAGCTTCCCAACCCAGTGCTCAACCGCTGCGCCACCGGGGAGGCCCAAAATACTGTGTTTTTAACCTTATTTTGAAGTAGTTTCAAGAATAGTATAGATTCTTATAGTACCCTTCACTCAGTCACCAATAAACATTTCCTCCATTTCCTTTTATATGTAAATATGTGCTGAGTATATGTGTGTACTTTCTAAATACACATAAATATTTTGCTTCCCAGAACCATTTAAAAGCAAGTTGTAGATATCATGCCCATTCATACATAAATATTTTAGTGTCTCTTCCTGGGAACAAAAGATAATACTTTTTCATAATCAGTGCAGTTATCAAATTATGGAAATTGAATTTTTTTTTATATTTAAAGAGCAGCTTTATTAGGGAGGGGATAAAATAGTTAAAGACACTTGCATAGACCCAAGCGGGCAGGAAGAGCTGCCCAGAAGGGACAGGTTTGCTAAGAGAGGCCTGCATGGTTGCAGGCAGGCGGCCTTGACAGGTCACAGGCAGGCAGGAAGGCTGCTGCACTGCAGAGGGATAGAGTTGGTGAAAAAAGGCACCTGCATAGTCACAGGTGGGCAGTGGGATTGCTGCCTGGGAATTGAATCATATACCAAATTGTGCCAACTTTCCCAATGTTGTCCTTTGTAGCAACTTTTCCCCCACTGACCCAGGGACCCATATACTGCATTTAGAAGTCATCATGGCTTAGTCTCTGTTAATATGGAACATGGTCTTTGCCTTTGTTTTTCATGACATCGCTGATATTGAAGAGTGTAGACAAGTTGATTTATAGAGTATCCCTCAAATGTGGATTTGTCTGACATCTAATAAAATACAGGTTATGCATTTTTGCCAGAAAAACTACTTCGGTGATCTTGTGTTCTGGGCACTTTACATCAGGAGGCACATGATGGCAGCTTGTCCCTTTACTAGTGATGCTAACTGGTTAAGGTGATGGCGTTCAGGTTTCTCCAATGTAAACTTGCATTTCCTCTTTGTGATCAATATAATCCATGGGCAAATACTTGGATACTGTAAACATCCTGTTTCTAGTAAAACTGGAACTCAATTTTTAGCATCAGTGGATGAGTACTCAATTATTATCATGATAGTTGCAAAATGACATACAATTTTAGGTAAGTGTGGTTAATGACAGTTCGACCTTGTTTCTTAATGTTGTGAGGTACTCTTTTTTTTTTTAAATACGGATTTTTAATTATTTACAGTGCATTCAAGGAGGTAATCTCAACTCGTTATCAACTGGATCAAAAATATATCACAAATATTGAGGTAAGATTTTTTTTCTTTTTTTAGTAATAAGATTTAGCAGCAAGTTGATGGGTCAATATGGTCTGGGTATGCTTTTTCTGGTAGTGGTTAAACTGCATTTGACTAACAGTCTTGGGCACTTATACAAATTCCCTGTTGCTGTTTTCCTTCCATGACCTTTGAAAATCTGTTTACGCTTAAAGAAAATGTCTTTTCTCTCAGTATCCCTAAAACATGCTAGTCTTCTTGCTCTGGAGAAGTGCTCTCTGTGATTCCATGTATTTGTTTTAGCTTGCTTCCTAGCTTCTGGCTTAAGGAGCTAGTTCTATACCAGTTAGTTAGCCCTTCCTGAACTCTTTGAACTCTAGCTGGAAAATGCTTAATAGTGTGATTGAATTCGTTCAAGTCAGAGTAAGGAATATGAGTTTATTCTCAAATGCTTCCAAATTAAAACCAATGTCATATATATATATATATATATATATATATATTTTTTTTTTTTTTTTTTTTTTTGGTGGGACCCTCACCAGTAGCCAGGGAATGAACCGGTGCTGCAGAGGCTGCGGGCAGCTTCGCAGCCCAGCGCTCAACCGCTACACCACCAGGGGAGGCCCCAATGTCATTTTTTAAAAAGACTTTTTGGAAGGAAAATACTTAATTTGTGTGTGTGTGTGTGTTTGGGAACACTTTTTTTTTTTTTTAAGGTTTATTTATTTATGCATATAAAAGCTGGGGTATAGGCCAGAGGTGTGGGGGGTGAGAGGATTCACCAGAGACAGAGTGGGGAACAGAACAGGCAGATCAATGGAAGTAAACTGCTGAGGGGAGCAGCAGGCAAGTCAGGAGAGGTCTGCTGCGCCATATGGGTAGCTCCCTGGTTGGGGATTGAACTCTTGCTGCAGTGTCTGTGGATAGCTTCATAGATTGCATCTTAACCCCTTGCGCTACCAGGGAGGCCCAGAAAATACTTATTTGCTCTCTAAAATTGAGAACATGGTAAATGTATAGCGCATTTTCTTTAGCATTTTAGTTTTAAAGTAGTTCTAGCCAAATAAGATACATTAATATCTTTTAAAATGTTTCAAGAGAAATTGTCTTTTGAAGAGAAAATATGCATTATAATTATCATCATTTACATTGCTGTCTTAATTTCCTTGGATAGATTTAAAGACCTCCCAAAGATTTATTAAATTATTAATGATAAACTCAGTTATACACGGAATATTGTGATTACAGGCTAATGATATTTTCAGATACCTTTGGTTATGGTACTAATTTGTATTATTCTGTTTTTCTCCAAGTATGAGAATGATGTTATCACTATTGACCTGATGCAAAATGCTTCTCAAAAAACTCATGGTGAGGTGGATATCGTTGATGTGGCTTATTACATTGAAAAAGATGTGAGTGGTTTCATTTTGTTTCTCCTTTTAGAAATGTATCATGCATCAGTCAGCTCAAAGTTTTTCATCATGTATTTCTCCTGCAGATCAACCATACTCTCCAAGTAGTTCAGTGCTATAATTTTGTTCTCTCTTGTTCACATGCATCTTCCTTAAATACCTTTCTTGCTCTGTTTATCCTTTTTATCAAGTTGATCTGTCTAAATCTTAGATGCTTAGTTACCTCCTTGGTAGTTGCTTAGTTTTTATGACCGTATCCTGTTATAACTACCATGAACAAGAAACTATAAAAGAAAAAAGCTGTATAACCGGAATGATTAAGATATTTCATTTAGATGTTAATACAGTGAGCTATTTCCTGATGATATCTGGGAATTCTGGCTTGGGGACAGCTAAGGGGAGAAGGGATAGAAGAATAGCTAAAATAAGATGCGATTATAATTTGGGTGAAAGGCATACAGGCTTCATTATGCTTTTCTTTATACTTTAGTATATGCTTGAAATTTTCCTATTAATGAAGTTTCTTTTAAAGTTTTAATGTATGAGCTTGTTATCACTAAACCTTAAAGATTCTTGGCCAACAGTTGTTTTGGTCTGTAATTGGTGTGTAATTATATGTGGCTGTGCTTGGTCTTCTTGCATATTTTAAATTACATTTCTTCTTCTCAATACAGGTTAAAGATGAATCTTTGTTCCTTTCCAAAAAATTGGACCTAAAAGTAAATGGAGAACAACTAGATCTGGATGCTAGTAAAGCTTTCATTTACTATATAGATGAAAAACCACCAGAATTCACAATGCAGGGTCTACAGGCTGGTATTATTGCTGTCATTGTAGTTGTGACTGTAGCAGTTATTGCAGGAATTGTTGTGCTGGTGAGTATAGAGCAAGTAAAATTTCATTTAAAGATAAGGTGATGGTATGAAAAGTCTGTATCCACATTTCAAAACACATTGATGAAACTAAATCTTTTTTTAACAATTCTCTATCATGAATGAATCTATTGCATCTGGTGCCTTTTTATAGAACAGTCACAAAACAAGAAAGAATACCATTCTGGAAAAAAACTTAGTACCTCACAGGTCTCTTAGTGGGTTTCCTCAAGCAGCAAATATTCATCATTTCTTCTTACTAGAAGTAGTTTAACAAACTCGTATCAAAATTAGTGGAAACTACCTGAACTTCCAAATTGTTCAATGAAATGAAAATACGGAATACAAAATTAAGATTAGCATAGAAAAGTTAGAAGTGGTAAATATGAGGCAAAATTCTAAGTAAAAGAGCAGCAAATTGAATCTAGCTGTGCTTCAAATGAACGTGCCACCTGTTGATGTAGGGTTTATTCTAAAAATGTAAGGAAGCTTCAGCATTAGCAGATCTTACCTATATATCAGATTTCAGAAATATATTTGAGGGTATGTAGGGTATGTAGCTTAGTGAAATTACTGCACTTGTTTATCCATCTAGAAGAAAATTCAAAAGTTATATTCATATTTCACCCAACAGGGCTGCCTATATTGCTCAGCTGTGCGTGAATGGCACGTCACGGAGCATGGCAATGTGTAAGGAATTGGACAGTGCACCCATGTTCAGATTCCAGCTGGATCATAGTTAAAAGTGGTAGAATTCAAAACAAGCCTCAAAATTAATTTAGGAAATGTTGGTACAACCTTGTGGCTAAAGGAAACCTAGCAAGAGACAAGAAATCTAGAGTCTGTTGAGGAAATAGTAAACATTTAACTTCATTAAAATTAAACATTTTATCTGGCAAAGATACTGCAAAGTAAAAGACATCAGTGATAGGCTAGGGGGAAAGTCACAATGCACAAAAGG